TTTACTCAAAAATAGTAGGTGGGACAGTTTGAGGTGGGACGGATGACATACACCCGGAAAACAAACACGGTGGGTATGAAAATGCACAATCGACGAGGTCGGTTGCTTTGGCCCGCCTTAACCGTGCCTCTTTGTTGGGGTGGAAGCTCTAGCGCGCAGTTAGTGATAAAAGTAAGCAAGATTCCCACCTGAGCACCATCGTAGCAATTCCCAACCAGCAGCTTCACCACCACCACACCCAAAAAAATAGTTTCTTGTTTCTAGTAAATTTTTCCTTGTTTCAAGTGCACGCTGACACAAGATTAAATTTACTCTTGAAACAAGCTGATATTTTCTTTCGAATAAGAATTTTTTTTTAATTCCAAACACAGTTTAATGGTGAATTTCATCTTGAGTCAGCGTGCACTTGAATCACGAAACTATTTTTCTGGGTGCACTCTAAACAGCACCACTTTAACTTCATTAACCACCGCTACCCTAATCACGAACACCCTAAGCCGAGGGGTCCCCCTCTCATCAACTCGTTGTACACGAGGAAAAATACTCGCAAGGTACTCACGATAATTCGAGAAATACTCGTCAAATACTCGCGGATACTCGCCAATACTCGCGTTAACTCGCGGATGCTTGCCATAATACTCTCGAATACTCGCAGATAGTCGAGCAACTCCATTGTACACCGTACACCCACTTGGAGACTGGGGGACCCCTCGCCCTAAGCACCATCAGGTGCAAATGCGGGTGTAACCACGCACCTCTCACTCACTTCGCATAAGTCGTATGGGGAGCGTCCCGCGCAACTTTCAGCGTACCACTTCCTTCACAACTACTTTATGGTACACTGTGAAAAAAATCGTCGTAAATTTACAAAAAACTTGTAAACTTGAATTATAATTTAAGTTGTAAATTTACGACGGCAGATTTTTTACTCGCCAAGGGATTTGGCCAAGGGATCATGCTGCATGTATTTTTACGATTACAAATTGTAATTTTACAACTGGCGTCATGGAAAATTTTTCTGTAAACCTACCTACTTTTTTCACAGTGTAGCCTCGCAAAACTCAATCAGGGTATGGCCGGTGCAGTGGCTGTTGTTAAACGGCGCGCGCGTGCGTAAACCGTCCAGGGCAGCCCGACGTCGCGGCGCTGGACGACATGCGAGGAGAGGCATCGGGGAGAAGCGGTACGATGACCTGGACTGCATAGCGCCCCCCCCCCC